ATATATATATCTTATTAACCAAGCGCGAGGGCCGTACTGGGAGAATATCGGCCCGAGGTCTTGACAGTACGGACCGAGCGCAGCGAGGTCCGTACAAAAAAGACCGAGGGCCGATATTCTTCCAGTACGGTCCCGAGCAAGCTTGGTTAATAAGAGATTTATTATACGACTGAAGTTCAAAGGGACACAAGTGCGGTTTCATTCGGGACCATTCGGGACTGTGCCCGGTCCAATACTTAGAGAATATTGGACCGGCAATAGAGCATTTTGATTGGTTGATTTTAGTTATTGGCCCTCTGACTGCCCGAGTCGTGTAATAAATATTTGTTATTACCCATGAGATAAGGGGTTAACCATAAAAATGTTTTCCCCTTTCCTTTGAAAATTTTCAATTGTTGGTGTAGGTGTTAAGAATAAACCATTTGCTACCCTTTCCCGTTCCTTCTCAAACAAGAGGTTCGCTAGACTAACAGTGAGATCCTTATTTAGTATAAAAGTCGTTTAATTAATGGATTATTGTCAAGGAAACTGTTAACGGCGAACGCTTTCAGGAAACTTTACATAGTTGAGTGTTCTTAACTAAGAGCTAGCCGAACTTTGAAAGTTTTGGTTTTGTCCACTAGTTCTTAATGTAGATATCATAGGATATTAGTTGGTCGATTAAAGACGCAATCATTAGAAAAAAGAATAAGTAAAAATATGTCGAATCCATTAAGAATTTATGTCGTAACGTCAATCACTTGATAGTAAATGTGGGCGATCTCGGCGTAACACCGACTGTTAAATGATATGGATCGAAATTATCGTCATTTAAATTTTTTTTTTGTTAGGAAGTTACTTGGAGGCTACTTTTCATCAATTCACCTCTTATTTGCTCATCGTAGGAATTAATATTCTCTCGTTTCCATCCTACACCGTTTCAATAATATTGAAATTATCGTTATCATGTTACATGAAAGAGCATAGATTCAAGACTAAGGAAGATCGTTGAATTTAAAGATTTTCATTTTAAGGTAACTTCTGCCTGAAAAGTTCATTTTTGTGGTCAAGACTATATTTATTTTTAATAATATCTTATGCTGATCATATCACAAAATTTTTACAATTATGAATTATTAGTAATCTTACTTTTATTTTCTATGTAAATTAGTAATAGATATTAGTTTTAGGACTAGTTTAAATGTACGATCCCGTAACTTTATTTGAACACTATAAGTGTTTAAAGCTTCGCGCTTATGGGATCGTGCATTTAAACTAGTCCTAAAACTAGTATCTATCACTAATTTACATAGAAAATAAAAGTAAAAATCCAATAAAGTTGAAGTTATGTTATGTTATTTGAAATGTTTTTTGCTACGGTTGAAAAAGGAGGCAAATATTCATTAGTACTGATGAGAAATACTTTTGAAAGTAATGAACAGGCGTCAAACTTTGTGCGGAAAGTTTCTCACAAAAACGTCAAAGGGTGAAGGATGTTTGCAGCCTCAATGGTGACAATCAACTTTTAAGTGTAGACCGGGGCAGATGGTTTTATTAAACCTCTATATATACACATTTTCATACTTAAAACTTCTAAACACTCTTCCTTGACCGAAGTAGGCAATCGAAAAGTCCAAGACAGATTTTATGAAGAAATTAAATGGAACTGTGGTTTTGGGTTCTCAGCTGGTTTCTCTGCATCCTAACGATGGTTGGAAATGGATTTTTCATCTTCCTCGTCTGCAGCAAACGTCAGCTTCGTACCAAAACCAGCACATTCATCGTGCCTTTAGCAGTGGCTGATTTTTTTGTTAGAATGGTTGCTGCTCCTTCACGTTTACTCTGCAACATGGTAGACGAGTGTAGCTACGATGGAAGAGCAAGATTACTCACAAGTTATATATGGATGTTCTTCATTTATGCTTCTGGATCAAACTTGTTTATTCTAGTATTAGAACGCTATATCGCCGTGGTGAAGCCTTTGAAATACTTGACTTTTATGAAGCGGCGCCGAGTCATTGAAATGGTTGTTACATCTTGGGGAATATCTTTTCTTTTCGCTCTTACTTTATTTTTGATGAGATTCATTGATCGTTTAAGGAATGTCCACGGCTATTTGTATTTGCTTTTCGAAGCGATCTTGTGCGTAATTTTAATCTTCTGTCTCGCATCCATGTTTCATGTTGTTTACAAGAACTCTAGAAATTGCAGTTTAGCTAAGCAATTGCGGATTAACAAACAGGTCGCTAAAGTTAAAACTCAGAACATGTCAGTCCTAAAATGGGTAGCTTTCGTAACGTTTGTGTTTCTATTGTGTTACGGAATATTTATGCGTTTTAGTTTATTAATTTTAACTGGTCATGAACGTAGAAACGATATTTATTACAAAATACCTCTTCAAGTTGTTAACTCATGAATAAACCCTATAGCGTATGCTTTCTTCAAAAGGGACATAAAGCAAGATTGTAAAAGACTTCTGTTCAAAAGGCGTCCTTGATTTACCACAAAGTAGTTCCTTAGCAAGGAAAACTTCAGTCAGTTCAACTTTACTTGATAGTGTAATCCTTGTGAACGTGGATCCTTAGCTTTCTGTTATGGATCTATCCGTGAAGAACTTGTTTTATCTTATAATTGCTATTAAGTCGAAAAGCTTCCAATGAAAGGATAGCCCAACTATGTAAGAGATATCGCGTTGATGTTACATTTATCGAATATATCGAGGCTTTACTTTACAGCAAATTTTTGCGTTGGAGTAATTTTTTTCTTGAATTATAGAAGTTGACTTGTTTTTAAGTGTAAGAAACATCTAATTCTTAAAAATATGAGGTTGCCTTGCATAATTTAATAAAAGGAGTAAAAAAATATCATGTTCCTCTCCAATTGATGTGCCCAGCTCTACATCAGATCGACTAATCCACGCCTAGTTGAATCAGACGCTATCATACAAAATACGGTGTGTAAGAAGCAGTCGATCATCAAAAATTCCTTTGAAAAATTGACATAAAAAATTAGAGTTTTGCGAACTTACCTCTAAATTTGACGCAGCACTCCAGCGCGGGAACAATCTTCAACGATTTTCGTTGCATCGCATTCTGCCACTGAAAGTTGTACGATATCACCTCTGAATCAAACATTCACATCATGAGGACGAAAGAAATAGTCACCAATCCGAGAAGCTCTTGACCAATCGACAAATTCTCCTTGCTAGTACAATAGACAATGTATGGTGAAAAATATGGAGAGTATGCATTAGAAGGGATAAACAACAAGGGAGGTATATTTGTTCGAACCTCTCCAAATCAGCATCTTTGGGCACAGAAAAGAGCTCGCTTAAGTCCGAAAGGCGTAATATTTTCTCGAAGGTTGGAATATTTTTAGTATTACCCCTTAAACTCCCATGAGTGACCAAGACAGAATTTCTCCTTACAAAATCAATAATATATGAAGCAGACAAGTGATGAGAATAAAATAAAAAGAAAATCAGAGGATTATCAGTTGATCCAAAATCAAATTCTACAAACTGAAATTATAAGAATTGTATGGCAGACAGT